AATATTTATCAAATTCTTTGTTAATTTATCCCTAATTGTCAAGAAAATCTTTTGTTAAGGAAGTATTTTTGAAAGGCACTCTAAAGATCATATGTAAATCGCAAAGTAAGAGCAGGAAGAACGAATCAAGGGAAATCAACCAAAAGAAGGGAGTACGAATGGGTGATGGAAAAGCTTCGCGTTGAGCCCTAAGCCAATGAACGCTTCCTTATCAGTTCTCAACGATTGGAAGAAAATATAGACAGGGAACAATGTTTTAGTAAGAGATCTTCAACAATAAGATGATGAAACATTCAAAAACGTTCCATGTATTACAGAAAAATCATAATTGTTGGTTAGAACTCACAGCTGGGGTAGCATCGTCAGTTTGTCTATGACTCGACACCATCGTCACCGAAGATTCGTCGCCATCGCTTTAAAAAATAAAGTATGAAGTAAAAAGATATCATTATTGTTAGTAGTACAACAGTACAGTAAAATTCTTCTTACGATAAATAAGTGATGACTAGGACTTCTTGTTAACATTGCCCTTCCAAATTGCTCTCAAAATTCCCCATTTAAAAAAAAATCCATGCTTTTTCGGGTGAAAAAGTTATCTATGAACCATCTTTCCTGCGCAAATTTACAAATATTTTTTAACTCAGCAAAAAGCATGCTAATTCTCAACCAAAACTCACTTTGGCCTCACCCGAAATTCTACTAGAAAAAGTGGTGAAACCATGTATAAACTATGGCAGGAAGGACAAAAAGGTATTAGTCATCAGGCTATTATTTGAATGTTTTCGAATTAGTAGGAAATATAGGGGCTCAAAATAGACAAAACAATCACATTCCTTGCGGATAGGTGTTCAAAATTTTCACCAAAACATCACGCACTACATTTGCCCTCGCAGCTGGGTGGGGTTAATTTACTTGAACGAATTCTGTTTTCTGTTAAATTTATGAGATCGCTTCAACTGAAAGAAAATCGCTTTAATGTTGGACTTTGGAAGTATGGTTTGTTTATAGATTGTGGAAAGACGCATTCTTTGGCCGTGATGTTCTAATTGAATTTCTTCCTTTTTTCCCACTTTTACTACCATGTCCGGCATCAGCAAATTCCTTACTGACAAAATA